TCTGATTGTATAAAAAATGCTTTACAAATATGAAGTCTTTTTGTAATTGCCCCCTTGTTTGGGGGTAGTGGATTGTTTGTAAATGATCTACCTCATACATGTGAGCAACTTAATAAACAAGCATGTAAACAAAATTGGTGTGTGTAATACATTAACGTGTGAAGTCTTAACACTTAGCAGTTCTAAACCCTACAATCTTGAAATACTGTTTGCCAAGCTGTACCAAGGTCTTAAAGAAAATTGAGTATGAACAAAGACATACCACATCCTGAAAAGGAATCCTCCTCTTGGCTATTCCCAGATATGTTGCAACATTTTTATGGGTGTATGATTTATATGAAATGATGCAGTCAAGGTAAACGGGAGTCATCAAAAACACGAGCTGCTGCATATCTACTGATATATGTATGAAAACAGTATTATTTCTCAGCTTATGTGGTATGTTCATTGATAATGTCATTCCAGGTATATGTGTTTTCTCAGTGGCTTGATGAAAGGAGGTCACCAATGTCAGTCCATCAGTTATGATATTCAGTTCTAAACATTTTAAGTTTTGCACCTGTGATAGCATTTTTTTCCTGTTTGTCAGTAAAGACACAAGGGATAACAAAATCCTGAATTTATCCTGTTTGTTTAATGTGTATCATTCTGCTTACTGTCTTCTTGTGACTACTCTGTTTCCAGCTGTGTAAACATTCTCTTGCATTCCTGTCAGAAATGTGACTCAAGAATTGTAGTGTCTACTCCTTCATTGTTTATTACTTTTTCAGCATGCTTTTAATTAAGAATTTAAATTACAGAACCAGATAGCATTATTACTTTTCAAATCAAATCTCATGAGGAGTACCTCGCATTAGAAACTTGGGTCATATCCTAGTACTCCAATTCCATTATTATTGAACCTATGATACAGTGAATTTGAAAAGTAGATATTTTCAACTTCAAGTTAGAGCTGTTTCTTTACATACTTTGAAAAAAACATTTTTATAAACTTAATTGTATGAATAGTTTATTTTGTGAATATTTGTGTATTAATATATTTTGAGAATACAGAATTCAGTTTTTCCTATAAAGTATTAATGATATTTTTAAATGCACACCACAAAATAATTCCTTTTTATAGTTGTCATTTTGTATGTGAACTAAGGGATCTAACCACTTGTCTCGGTAACTTTCAACAACCCTTTTGTGAAAAATTTAGTAAAAAATCCCAAACCAAACCAACCATGAATTTTCATTACACTTAAGTTGTGGTCACATTAAGTTGAATTATGAAGAAGTACTTTACTGAATCTGAACAATGATCCCTGTAATTTCCCAAAAGTTTTAAGATTATACCTTTTCATCACAGAAATCCTGTTATAATGTAAACTAAGGGAAATGATGCTATTTAAGTAAGAGTTCTTACTACCTAAACTCTTATATTCTTCTTCTGGATATTATGTTTGTTGTTTCTATTAGAAAAAGTAATTGTAAGCTTTTTGAAGGGACACATTTAATTTTTTAGTTTTATCATGATAAAACATGGGTCAGTAATCTAGGAATGTATGGATGTGAATGAAGGTCTTCATAAATACTAAGGGCAATTGACTGTTATCCAAAGAACCTTCTATACTATGTCACTCTGTGACGTCATTCAATTTAAGCATAATAATGCTATGGACACTGTTGTTCTGTTAAATTTTTCTGATATTCTGTGTCTGTGCAATCATTGAGAAAAATGGGCACAGGAAAAGTTTCTTTTTCTAGTTGCTTATCTAATTAGTATGTCTATTTCCTTATAAAATGTTACTTTATTATTTGTGAACTCTTCTCTCTGGCAGGTAACTTTAATTTGAGAAGTCAGATATATTTTATAGAATTAGAACTAAAATTAATTTAGTTTTTCCTTCTTGAAAACCTGTAGTTTCATTTAAAGTTTTGTGAAATTAACACAGTCATCATTCTCTAGTGAACAGCTATCTTAGTACCATTTACCAAACCCAGTAATCAACCAATGATGAGGAATGACAGAGCTCTATGAGAATGTGATTATTTATTATTAAGTCACAGAACTGATTCACTCTGTATCAAAGAAGCAGTTTGTTGCATACATGGTGATAGAACTTGTGATGTTAGCTGTATAATTTTATTATTTTATAACCCAAGCTCAGATCCCTTCCTGATTCTGAGACTCATTTTAGCAAATAATATACAAAAAAAAAAAAAAAGAAAATAATATATCTAATTTAGGAAAGTAGTCTGTTGGAAGAAAGTAACAGTATTTTGAAAGACACTTCTGAGTTTGTTACAAACCTGATTAATTCCCTGGTTCTACCATGACTGTTCCTTTCTGCTACTCAAGTAGTTTAAGCTAAGGTTAGTTACATGTTAGCATCCATTCTCACACTACTGTAACAGTTCTCATGCTTTTCAGTCTCTGTAATCTTTATTTTCTCGAAGGTTATTAGAGACTATAAAAGAGCTTTGTTTATATGGGTTAATCTACTTATTTGCATATTAGAAATTACAATGGAAAATTTAAAAATATCCACTTAAATGTGATTGCATGTTAATACAAAATATGTTTTTATGAAAATATATTTTCCAAAAGAAAATAGGAAAAAAGAGATCCTGTTTATAGTTTGTAAATTTTTGGGGGGAGGGTGGCACACTGGGGTTTGAACTCAGGGCTTCATGCTTGCTGGGCAGACACTCTACCACTTGAGTCACTCCACCAACCCTGTTTTTTGTGTTGGGTATTTTTGAGATAGAGCCTCTAACTCTTTGCCTGGGCTGGCTTCAGACCACAATCTTCTGATCTCTGCCTTCTGAGTACCTAGGATTACAGGTGTGCCACTGGTGCCTCACTTTATAAATATCTTTGATATTTAGTTTAATAGAAGATATCTGGATTCTCATACCTACCTCTGCTCCTGTGAGGTTTTTGTTTGTTTGTTTGTTTGTTTGCTTGTTTTTTGTTTTTTGTTAAAGTATATGAAGAAAATCAGGTCTCATGAATAGGTAATCAGTAAAGGAAAGAATATTTAATAGCCTTTCAAACAGTTAAGGATACTCTTCTTTGAATAGTATGCCAATTTAACAAATAGTGGTTTCTTAAAGGTTAGTTGCAATATGGAACCTGCATATTTTGTTACACTAGAACCTGGTTTGGATGGATCTTGTATCTATGCACAGTTTTTATATTATGCATTGTTATTTGGCAAATATCAGTTCAGGGAGTTGTGCAGATCTTTTAGATGCATGCCATTATATAGTACTTAAAATATTGTATTCGTTAATATTATTGTCACATTTATCAGAAGAGTCTGAAAGTATTGCAGTTATCAGGCTCGTGATGATACTTCAAAGCCCAGATTTTATCACTTATAACACATAATTGCTATTTGTATCAGATATTGGTTATAAATCTTTATATTGAAGTTATAGGCCCTCTTGATTTATTTTGAGAAAAAGTCTGCAAAATACATATATGTATAGCATATCTTGTCAGTTATTCTTTCAAGTAAAAAATGGTATTCCTTTAAAAAAAAAAAACCTGATCTAAGCCAGGCATGGTAGTATTCACTTGTAATCTTAACACTTGAGAGATGGAAGCAGGAGGATTCCAAGTTCCAGTCTAGCCTGGGCTACATAGTGAGACCTTGTCCCAAAAACCAAAAGTATGCTGGATGCAATGGTCCAGGCATATAATCCAGCTATTCAGGAGGCAGAGATCAGAAGGATCAAGGTTCAAGGCCACCCAAGGCAAAAAATTTAATGAGACCCTATCTCAACCAACAAGCCTAGTATGGTAGTGTCATACTAGGATAGGACTACACCTGTAATCCCAGCTATGTGGGAGACTGTAGGTAAGGAGGATGGCAGTTCCAGGCTAGCCTCCAACATAATACAAGACCCTATCCAATAAATAAAGCAAGAAAGGGCTGGAAGCATGGCTTAAGTGGTAGAGTGCCTGCCTAGCAATCACAAAATCCTGAATTCAAACTCTAGTACTGTCAAAATATAAAAACAAACAAAAATAAAATAAATATCTAGTTCAATTTACAACTTAAACAAGTGTTTTTCTTTAGAAAGCTATCCAATTTCCACACATAGTAGTAAAAGTGATTTATATGTACTATTTGAAGGATTTAAGAAGTTGTGGTTAAGGATTGAGTTATAATGAAATTTAAATGTTTATTAATTTATCAAGGGCCTTCTTAAGTGAAACTAAATTTTTTAAAAATTGCAAATATGTAGACTATAATAACTAGTAGTCCAGCTTGATGCCACTGTTTTGATTCCTGGTAAGACACTAGCAGCCTTACCCACTGTTGCTTTTGCACCACAAATGTAAATGAGAAAAAAGTGAAAGAAACAACCAGATTCAGTAGTGCTATGTTTGTTTTGACCTCATAGATTCCTATGATTCTCTTTATCATATTTTGTGTTTTAGAATGAAAATGGTTTAGTGTTCACAAGTAAGCCTGATATACAATGTCATGGAATTTAGTATAAAGGACAGAAATACATACATAAAGATAAAGATGATGATGTCAGCTTTTCCATACCAGATTAGAGAATATGTAAGAAAAGAAGTTCTAGGGACGTGTAGAAGAGGAAAGGTTATTATTGTTAGTATATATAATAAATCATATTAAAATGACTTTGAAACACAGGAGAGGTGCCACCCAATTCTTTGGTTTGGAGGAGCTAGAAAAACTGGGAAGTTTCAGAGAACATTTTAAAAAATAGATGACATTTAAGTACTCGCAAATATTTGTTAAATGAATTACCACTTTTCAAAATAAAAGTGTAGTCAAAATGTTTTAATTTAAGCCATTCATGCGTTTTCTTCATGTATTCTTCATGATGTCTACTTAAGGAAATTCATCTGGTAGAATTTTGCATTCTGTAGAAACTATGAACTTGATTCTAAATGTAAAGATATCATCTAGATCTTACTTTCCTGATGTTTCTAAACTGAGACAAGGAGGCAATGAATTAGTGAAAGGAAGATGTATACAAAAAAGGAAAGTGTCAAAGAGATAGTGACAGAAACTAGGGTGAGTAGAACGTGGATAGTAATCATAATAACTACTACTTTATACACTCAACTGTGTGCCAGAGGCTATTCTGGGCACTTTGCATTTGTTAACTTACATTCCTTCCCAAGAGTACTACCAGGTAGATATTAACCTATTCCTTTATAGATGAGGAAACTGAGACAATAAGAGGTTAAGCAAATTGCTCAAGATTACATACTTATTAAGCATGATGAGAAAAAGAAGCTAATCTAGCATGGAGGGCTGCTATATTGGTAAACTCATTCCTGTATCTCCTCCATCTCTCATGAGCAACACTGCTCATCAAGATATCCTTTTTCCTCCAGATTAAAAAAAAATAGACTATTTTTAAGAGCAGTTTTGAATTCATAGCAAAATTGAGCAGAAAGTTCAGGGAGTTCCCATACATCCCCTGCCCCGAGACCGGTGATAGAGGCAACAATTTGTGCTCTCATTTTCCTGCACCTGAGTGGTTGTAACCATCAAACCTACGTTGAAGCATCACTCACTCTGTGGATATTCTGTGGATTTTGACAAGTATGTAGCAATATCTCCACCATTATAGTAGTTTCACTGCTCTCAAAATCCTGAGTTCCATCTATTAATCCCTCTACCATCCTTCCCACCCCCTGGCAACTACTGATTTTTTTTTTTTTTACTACCTTCTTAGTTTTGTCTCTTCCAAAATGTCATATAGATGAAATTATACAGTATGTAACCTTTCAAGGCTGGCTTATTTTACTTAGTAATGCTCACTGACATTTCTTCCATGTCTTCTCTTAATAGCTTATTTCTGTTTAGTGCTAAGTCCATAATCTGATGTACATTTCTTTATTCACTCGCCTAGTGAAGAACATCTTGATTGCCTTCATTATTTGACAGTTATGAGTAATGTAAACATCTCTGTCCAGAATTTTGTACAGATCCTTTTATAAACTCATTTAGGTAAATACCAAGGAGCAGGGATTGCTGGATATTGTGGTAAGAGTGCTTAATTTTTTAGCAAATTGCCAAATTGTCTTCCAAAGTGGCTTTTGCATTCCCACCAGCAATGAATGAATATTTTTATTGCTCTATTAGTATTGTTAGTGTTCTGGATTTTTGCCATTCTATTATACAGTGGTGTCTCCTTGGGTTTGTTTTCTTGTTTTGTTTTGTTTTGTTTTGTTTTGCAGTGCCCAGATGAACCCAGGGCATCACACAAACTAGGCAAGCAAGCACTGTACTACTGAGCTCTATCCCTAATCCCTCATTTTAATGTGCATGTCCCTTTTCATATGTTTATTTTCTATCTATAAATCTTCTTTCCTGAGATACCTGTTAAAGGGTTGTTGCCCATTTTTAAACCAGGTTGTTTGTTTCTTATTGACGGGTTTTAACATCTTTGTGTAATTTAGATAACAGTTCTTTTTCAGATAAACCTTTTGCGAATATTTTTCCCAATCTGACTTGTCGTCTTATTCTCTTGACATTCTTTCACAGTAGAAGTTTAAAACTTAAATGAAGTACAGCTTATCACTTAGTTGTTTTATGGATCTTGCTTTCATGCTGTATCTAAAATGCTATCACCAAACCCAAGATCATCTAAGAGCTTTCTCCTATATTATCTTCTTATATTTTTGAGTTTTATGTTTGGGTATATGATGCATTTGAGTTAAATTTTGTGAAGAGTGTACTCCGTGTATAGATTCTTTGTTTTGTTGTTGTTGTTTATATGTTTGTTTTGGGGGTTGTGGGGTGTGTGTATGTGTATGTGTGTATGTGTGTGTGTGTGTGAATGTCTAGTTGTTCCAGCATCATTTGTTGAAAACATCTTTTTTTCACTATATTTCTTTTGCTCCTTTGCCCAAGATAAGTTGACTGTATTTATGTGGGTCCATGTCTGAGCTCTCTAGTCTTGTCATTCATGTATTTCCCTGCCTTTTTCACAACTGTCTCAATTACTGTAGTTTTATAACTAAGTCTTAAAATTAGATAGTGGCAGTCTACCTCTTGATCCGTGCCCTCAGGCCTTTTTGCTTTTAGTTACTTTTCAAACAGGGTCTTGCTTTTGCTCAGGGCTGGCTTGGACCATGATCTTCCTACCTATGGCTCCCATGTAGCTGGGATTACAGGTATGTACCACCGTGGCTGGCATGTTCTTTGAGATAGGGTCTTGTTAACTTTTTTGCCAGGGAGGGCCTTGAACTCTGATTCTTCTGATGTCCCCCTTCTAGTAGCTGGGACTATAGAAGTGATCCACCATGCTGGGCCTTACGTATACCTTTTTCTTTCTTTTTCATATTACTAAAAATTAGCTAGGATTTCCAATACAATATTGTGGAGTGGTGAGAGAGAATATCTTTGCTTTATTCTTTATCAAGTATGATTTTAACTGTAGGTATTTTGTAGATACGCTTTATGAAGTTGAGGAAGTTCCCCACTACTTTACTAAGGTTTTGTTTTTTCATTATGAGTAGATGTTGGATTTTGTATAATACTTTTTCTGCATCTGTTGATATGATCATGTGATTATTAATTCTTTAGCCTCTTGATACTATGAATTGCTTTGATCTTTGAAAGTTTTACCAGTCTTGCATACCTGGGATGAGCTCCACTTGGTTGTGGCATTCTTTTTATATCTTGCTGAATTCAATTTGCTAAATTTTTTATTAGATTTTTACTCTTAAGATCATGAGAGCTATTTGGTCTATGGTTTTCTTTTTTGGCTGTGACCATGGGATCCTTCATTTCTGGTATCAGTAATTCGGGTTCTCTCTTTTTTTCCCCTTTAGTTGGCTTGGTTAGAGGTTTATTGATAGTGTTACTCTCTTAAAAAATAGCATTTGTTTTTATTAATTTCCTATTTTCCTTATCATTCATCTCTACCCATTTATTATCAATTATGTTTACTTTGAATTTAATTTGCATTTGTTTTCGTTTCCTAAAGTCAGTGCTTAAATTACTGATTTTATATCTTTTTTCATTGTAATATGTGTATTCAGTTATATAAATTTCTCTTCAAGCACTGCTTTTGCTGTCTTCTACAGATTTTGATAATTTTCATTTTCATTTAGTTAATTAAAAACCTTTCTCTTGAGATCTCATTTTTTAAACTTATATGTTACTTAGAAGTATGTTGCTTAACCTTTAAGTATTTGAGAATTTTGTAGCTATCTTTCTGTTACTGATTTCTAGTTTAATTCCTTGTGGTCTGAGGGTAGGCATTGTATAATTTCTCTTCTTTTAAATTTAAAATATGCTTTAATACCCAGAATGTGATCTCTCTTGGTGAACGAGATAGTTCTTTTATTGTGCTGAATTGAAGCCTCCTTAGATTCATGGGGAAGTTTTAAAATAATTCAGTTTTCTGGCAGAGATACATATTTTGCACCGTACCTCCAACTTTTTCTCACAGTCGGGATAGTTCGTCACTTTGCTGCTGGTCCTACATCTGCCAGTGTAGGTCTCAGAAATTGCATCTCAGAGTGGAATTTAGACAAAACCTTGGCTGTCTTCATAAAATAAATATGGACATTGGTGAATTTACATTATAAATTATAAATCTGTTCATGAATTCTTTTGTTAATGTTGGCTGAATGATATACCACATGAGATACACGGTTTTAAAGATAAATATTTGACATTTGTCAGATATTAAAGAATAATAAATTTTAATTTTACTTTTAAAATGTGACATTTTTTTCTATCCCATTTAGTTTTGTCAGCCTGGTGGATGGCAACTGTCCAGAGAGAGGAAGCAGCCAACGTTCTTTGTGGTGGTCCTAACAGATATTGACTCAGATCGACATTACTGCTCATGCCTCACCTTCTATGAGGCAGAGATCAATCTCCAGGTACAAACTTTGTCTAGCCAAAAGGTAATCACAGGGACAACATTTAGGAATCTTTCTGCCATATGTGCTTTTGTTCAAACTGCAGTGTATTCTGTTGCCTGCTTCTCTTCCTCTTCTCTCTCCTTCTCCTCCTCCTCGCACATACACAGGTGCACACATACGATTTTTTTCTGAACTATTTGAGAGAAAGTTTTATGTATCATATCCTTTGACCCTAAATTATTAAATGTGTGTTTCACACAAGCACAAACAGTATATATAGTTACCAATCTCAGAAAAGTTAGCATTGATAAAATACTTTACCATCCATATTCTGGTTTTGTCATTTGACTAAATGTTTATTGTTTTTGCTTTTTTAAATTTTGGGGGTTTTTTGGTCTTGCTATGTTGCCTAGGCAGGCCTTGGCTACCTGGGCTTAAGAGATTCTCTTGGCTCAGCTTCCTGAGTAGTTGGGACTGTAGTCACGCATCACCACACCCAGACTAAGAATGTTTTCCCATTTTGGGAATGGGTTTTTTTCCCATTTTTTTTTTCTTTTCAGTACTGGGAGTTAAACTCAGGGTTTTATGCTTGCTAGGCACGCACTCTACCACTTGAGCCATTCTACAAGTCCTTTTTCTGTTGGTTATTTTTAAGATAGGCTCTCATCTTATGCCTGAGGGCCTGAACTGTGATCCTCTTATTTGTGCTTCTCTGTGTGGCAAGAATGACAGGCATGTGCCAACACTCCCAGTCATTGGTTAAAATGGGAACTTTTTGCCTGGGCTGGCCTCAAACCACCATCTAAATCTCTGCCTCCCCAGTAGCTAGGATTATAGGCACTAGCCACTGTGCCTGGTCCCCTGTAATAATGTTCTTCATCATGCCTTCCACAGTTTTCTTCCATGGAAGATCTAGCACATATCACATATATTGATTATATTTCATAATAATCTCCCTTTCTTCTCTTTTTCATCTGGAATTGTCCCTCAGCCTTTCTTTGCCTATGACTTTGACATTTTTTAATAACACAACTCTCTCCATCCCTTCTTAATAGTATGGTTCTTGTTTTCCAGTTTCTGATGTCTATCATTAGATTCAAGTTATGCATTTACAGTTAAAATATTATCTAGGTGAAGCTGTGCATGGTGATGCATGACTGTAATCCTAGTACTTGGGAAGCTCAGACAGGAGAATTGAGAGCTTGAAGCCAGCCTGGGCTGCATAGCGATTTTACTAGACATATAGAATGGAACAGAGTGGAATGGAATGGGGAATGGAAATAGGAATAGAATTCACCTTAGGATATTCCTCCTAAGGGTACATGTCTGGAAGTGCACAATGTTTAACCACCCCTCACTGATGTTAATTTTGATAATTTGGTCAACTACTGGATTTCTCTACTGTGTAGTTGACATTTATTCATTTGCAACTAATAAGCAGTCTGCAAGAAGATATTTTAAGACTATGCAAATATCCTGCTACTCATTATCCATGGTTTCCTAGATTGAGTGTTTACTGATGATTCTTGCCTCTGTCAATGCTGATTGTGATGGTTACAAAATGATTGTTTTCCAATTCCACACACACTGTACCTTTAACCAGTAAGCAGTTGACAGTTTACTGTAAGCAAGAGCTATTCTTTCTCATCTTGAACCATGGGCTCATGGATTCCAGTTTTTATTTTTTTCTTTTCTTCAGTAGCATATAATTCATTAATAGTTTTCATCATATTCATGCACATGTTGTTCTATATCTGACCAGTGGGTACTTCTCAAGCTGTAATCCTATTTTTCTTTTTTGATAAGGCCTTATCTTTTTATTTTTTTTAAGCACTTTAAAATTTTCTGTTATAACAAAGTGATGAGGTTCATCTTATTCCTTTCCAGCCTCAACCTGAAATCAACCTTTTCTTCAGGGAGCTTTGACTCCTTTGAGTAGTGAATAATATTGGAAGCCAAGATCTGAGGTTTTGTATATTTTGAATCATTGTTTTAAAAACTTTTCTTTTAGCTCAGATATTTTGCTACTTGCCATTTTAAGTAGACCAAAAATTATCATTTATTTAGTTTTTATAATCAACTTAAAATCTTTAAAGTCTGCTTCATATCAGACTTTTTTAAAGATTCTGAAAACATAAATAAGTTGTGAAAATTATGGCTTCTGTATAATTGTAATTAGGTACTATGTATTATGCAGATCTGTAAGACTGCTTTTCTATACTGGAAGCAGAAAACTAATGCTTTTTGAATTTGCCCTAAATGAGAGTACAAACAATGAGGTAGAATGTGAAAAAAAAACCAGAGATGTTCTTTTCTAGGTCATTAGTAAGGTTTGTTCTCATTTTTGGCATGCACTGTTTAGCTATGTCCTTTTTAAAAAATGTGTTTTTCTTTTGTTTTTGGATCCTATCATCAGTTCAAAATAGATCATTTAATTCTCATTTGGTGTGAATTACTTCATACCAATGTACTATGACACATTATTTGGAATCCTGAAGAGGAAGAACTTAGGGACATACACCATCCGAAGTAAGATTGTGCAACTTTAAAAATGTTGGCTCTCTTGCCTTCTCCAAGATACAGTAATACTGTCAATAATCACAAGCAAAACTTTGGCATCAAATTTTTGATAACATGTTCCCCAAATTATCCAGCTAGGCAGTGTGATCCTAGATGATTTTTTAAGTAATCAGTAAAATATGATAGATTTCATGTTGGCTTTTACAGCTTAGACAAAATATATGGCAGACATATCTAAATTTTCTTTACCTTTATGTCTTTTTAAAGTTCTTTAATGTGTTTACTATTTCTGAATCAATGGTAATTATGCACTACTCAATGAAGATATTTGGTATATCAGCAAATTAATTGCCTTCAAAGAAAAGTGGAGGAGTGAATGAAACTAATTTAGAAAGATAAGATAAGGAATAAAGAGAGAAGAGACATTGAAGGCATAAAATACATTTCTTTGACTCAGTGGGTATAAAATTTAGGTCAGAAGGCAAAACTAAAATTTAAGTATGAAAACATGTCAAAGTACTATATGCTAAGTACTGTTTGTTGAAATATGTAATAATTGATGACTGGACAACTGGAATAAATCTTACAGACTTCAAAAGACTGAGTGAACATTTACAAATCAAGAGCTGAGACTTGAGGGGAAAAGAAAAAAGATTTTAGATTTTAAAAGGCTTACCGTGTTCTGGATTGTATACTAAAACTTTCACAGCACTTTATTTCATTTCATTTTATTTAATTCACATGGATTTTATTTCATTTTATTCTCTTAATAGCACCATTTGGTAGGCTTTAACATTTCTGTTTTACAAATGAAGCTAAAACTTTCCCCTGGACAAGTACTAAGTTGAAGAGCTTGTCTATATCTGTCCAACACTAAAATAAGTATTATACTGAAATATTAAAATAAGTATTATGCTACTGAAGAACTTATATCAGTTATTATTGATTCAAGAATAAGATAAATTGTGGGGATAGCAAAGATTGTCCGGAAACAGACCCTAGTGTATCAGGCTATCAGTACCCTAGTGATTATGTGTTACCCTAGGATATCAGTATTCAACAATGGAAGAATTTCAAAACTGATGTGATCTATACATTTCAGTTTTTAATTTTTTTGGAGATAGTGTCTCACTATGTAGTTTAGGCTGGCTGTAAACTCTCAGTCCTCCTATTGTAGCCTCTGAGTTATGGGATTACAGACCTACACTACCACACTTCCAGAATCTATAGATTTCAAAAAATGTTATTTAAACAGTTGGTGAACTATTTGAGAAAACAATAAATTTAAACATTCATAATACCATATGATAATTAATTACAAATGATTGATGAATTACCTGGAAAATCAAAGTAATGAAAATAAATTTTTAGACTGATCTCTAGATAGGAAAACTTGGAGCTCTGGAGGAAATATTTGCTTTTTTTTACTTGTCTTTTCATTTGGTTCCCCCCACCAGAATGTGTGCTTTGTAAGAGCAGGGACTCTGTCACCATTTTAGCCTTAGTGCCTAGGCTAAATCATTTAATGTATATTAAATGAATAAATGAGATTACATCCCATTAATCATCTTTTGTACTTTCTATACCAACTTTGTAACCTCTCTGGTTCTCAATCTTTTTTTTTTTTCAATCTTCTTATCTATGAAATAGGAAGGTTGAATTAGATGTTTCTGTAAGGTCACTTTTAACAGTGATCTTGATCTTGTTTCTAAGATTTATTAGCAGTGTGATCCTGACAAATTGCTTAACCTCTTTGTATTTCAGTTTTCTCCACTATACGTAGGGAACAATAGTAATTCTAATTCTGGAAAGTTTGAAAGTCCTTAATTTATTTCTTTGAGTCAACTCTATGTAATGGTACATCGTAATAAATTATATTTCAAAAGAGGAATCTAGAACTGAATGTTTTTTACTTGCACAGTTTCTTTTATCATTGTTAATTAAATGTTTAAATAAATGTGGCAATGTGGTCTTGTTGAAAATGAACACAGCAACGCTTTTCAGGATAGAAAGACAGGACTTGGCTGTTGCTTGGATGTGACAATTAATCTCCAGGATATAATAAACATGAGGCTGGAGTATTCAACATGAAAAATAGCTAAGATAAATTTCCTAAAGGTAGTATCTATCTGCTACATGAAGCCATCAAATAAAATCTGCCTTCTAGTACTTTTATCTCAGGATATGTTTGAAGATCAATAGCAGTTCTGGGGCAGATTGATATAATAGCAGGCACTAACTTTTCCCATATTCAAGCATGGGGGACTATCAGCTATACATTATATGACATACACAGAAGTTGGGAGTCTTACTAGCAGATATAGTTCATTGTAATAGCCAGTAGATGAAAATACGTACAAATGAGTGAGGTGTGGCATGTGATAATGATATGGATAAGAGATGAGGTTACCTTGAAGGCAATGTAAATAATCCATTAAACAGCATTTAAAGTAAATTTCTGTCTTTAAAAAGGACTCCTAAAAACAAGGAATAATCTTAAGTTATAAGAAAGATTAATATTGCCCAGCTAGATGACATATAAGATACTAAATTTCAAAGAAAATAACATCTCTTATGTTTACAGGCTATGTTTTGAAGTTTTTGCTTATTTTTTAGTTTTTCACATCTTTTCAGTATGTGAAAAATCTGTCATTATAAAACATACAAGCAAGAATCATGATATAATTATTACATAAAAGATACTCCAGCAACTATATAGAAGAGGCGGTTTTCCCTTTGCCTGATAAATTATTTCTAGAAAATTTTGATCCCAAAAATCACATTCTCATCTCTTGGAACAAATTTTATTTTACCTAGCAATTTTTGGTATTATTTGTTTGTTTTGTCATAATAGTACATTTCTCCCAAATGTAGAAATATGATTTTTCTCTAAACTTGAGACATTTTGTGTGTGTGTGTGTGTGTGTGTGTGTGTGTGTGTGTGTGTATTTTGCATTTTCTCTACCCTAAACTACATCCCCAGCCTTTGGGGAAATGTGTTTTTGTAGGAGAGTTTTGGGGATTAAGAATAATAACATTTTAGGATTTGCAAAGTAAAAGTCAACATCTATGTTGGAAGTAAAAATAAAATTATTTTTACTTAATACTGATTTATATTATACTAGATCTTTTTTCTTCTCTGTTAACAATTATTCCTTTTAGCTAGTGTTTAAAGAGCAGTTTTAAAGAAGTGACCACTGAATTCTATTTTGTGTTTGGTCATTTACTTGAAATGGTTATCTACTTACTCAAACTGTCTTTTAATGGTACTCTAGAGCATTTATCACAATCTCATAAAATTGTGGATAGGTTTAATCTCTTCCAGGAATTTCAGTCATTTTTTGTTATTTTGAATTTGACAGTAATCCATGAAGCACATAATTCATTAAATGTGGAAATCATTGGTAAATTAATAATCTTCACATTTTTATTATTTCTAAGGATTGCAGAAACCAAAAACCTAATTTTAGTTTTGGCTTTGTAACAAACGAAAATTTTCAAGAGCATTTGGACTTTATCATATGTACAAATAGTTTATTTTTGATATGTGCATTCCATGGACAGCCAATAATTGGTTATATTGCACTGTACTAGATACTAAGTAGGTTCTAAAAGAAATTAAAAATACAGTTCTTGCTTTGCAAGCGCAAAGCCCTGAGTTCAAACCTAAGTCCCACAGATATATATGTAGATATATATTTTTTTCTTGGCCTCCATGCATAGGGAGGAAAAGACTTCCTTTGGTAAAATATCCAGAAAACCATTCCAAGAAAATTTATTCCTTCATTTATGCAGTGAACAACAAAGTGCCCATACCTTATTTTAGGAACTGGAATTCATCACTGAACAAGACAGAGAAAACCTGGCCTTTATGTAGCATATTCTAGTAGGGGAAAAAGACAAACCCAAACCCAAGATAAATGAAATGAATAATAACTGGATAGTGACAAGTATCATAGAGAAAAATAAGGCAGGAAAAGGGGATTAAAAAGTGTTAGGGCACTTCAGTTTCAAGTAGAGTGATCAGCAAAAGCTTGTCAGAGTAGGAAGAGGAGATACTTGAAAGAAGATCTAAAAGAGATGCAGAGCATAGTCATTAGGATATCTGGAAAAGAGCATTCCTAGCCAATAACAACAAGCAAGTCTATAGATTTGTAGATGGGAGCATGCCTGGTATGTTTGAAAAGCAGCAAAGAAGCAAAGTAGGGCAAAAGCAATGAAAGGAGGCTATTGTAATGATCCAGACGAGGTGATGGTGGCACACTATATTGTGGAAGCAATAGAGGTATTGAGAAATCAGAATTTGTTGATGTTGGATATAAGCTATCTAAGAAAGAGGAATCGGGAGTTTTTGGTTTGCCCAGTGAAAGAATAGGATTACCATTAAAAGACAGGGACCAGTGCAAGCGAGGTGAATCTAGGGAGAAAGATTGGAGCTGTGTTTTGTTCTGTTTTTTATTTATCATACATTAATAGTATGAGGGGAATTCATGGTGATAATTCAATACATGGGTACAGTGTGTCTTGAACAGTCCGTCCCCATTTTGAATATCTTTGAAGTGTCTTTTTTCATTAAGTGGTGATGCCAAATAGGCATCTAGATACAGTATTTCGTAGCATTTGGGGGAAAGCCTGACAAAGAAAGAAGTACACCAAAGTCTGATATTTTGGGGAGCCACACTGGAAAGTAAGAGAAAGAAAAAAATTAGGGAGGAAAATAAGTTTTAAGTTCTAAGTTTGATTAGTGTAAAAGAAAGACAAGGGGATTCTAGTTAGGGAAAATGTCCTACAATCTTAGAATGTCCAGAAATAAATCTGTATGCTTTATTACCGTACTCTTTTTTTTTCTTAAACATTTTAGTATGCTATAGACCATTATCAAACAGATAGGTACACAGGAAATATTTATTGATCCATAAATGAGAATATTATTTTTCCAAGTTTATTAGACAGTAGTTGTTAAAACAGGTGATTTTAAAAGACTATTTATTGTGGTAAAATCTATCTAAGATAATACCATTTAAGCCATTTATAAATGCGCATTTCAGTGGCATTAAGTTCATTCCGAAACTTAGTTTTATATATAAAAATGTTCTCTTTTTTTCTTTTCAAAATATCACCGTTGTTGCTTAGGAACAAAAGCAATTTCAAGCTGATATGTGCTTTACTTCCAAAAGCATTGAGCATTCTGCAAGCTTTAGAATGTTCATATGAAAGAGTTGGCCAAGCACAAAATGCCCTATTTGTAAAACAGACTTTTTTTCTTCTTTTGAAAACAACTAACTTTCCATTTAGGCAAATGTCATTTTAATTATTTGGGTCACTACTTAAAATAATTTTAGCAAGTCTTATTCACCTTCATTTCCTCACTCAGAAAGGAAATGATGGAGCTTCTCAAAAATAAAATAAGTATTCCTTGTCTGATTTTTGTAAGTTACCTGGAAGGAACATGGTATGAATATCTTTTGTGAACTATGAATGTAGGTAATTCTGTATATTGATTTCAATGTCACTTTTTCTAGGGAACAAAGAAGGAAGAGATTGAAGGTGAAGAAGAAGTATCTGGCTTAATTCAGCCTGCAGAGGTGTTTGCTCCCAAAAGCCTGGTGTTGGTGTCCAGATTAGACTATCCAGAAATTTTTAGGGTAAAGAACTTATAGTTGTCATTCTTAGTTTATATTATTATATAAACCTGTTTTGAATGAACCCTGGTGACAAGTTCTTTGTATTGAAAATATTGTTAAACTGAGTTAGTGATTCACCAATAAAGGAAAATTAGCAAGAACAGAAGAAATAAATTCATGTTGGATGATAAAAATACTTCAGTGAGTTAACAAAACTATTTGCACTTCTAAGGATGTAGCATTTGTTTTAAAATAGGTCACACATTAATTGAATCCAAAGGTTATAAACCCTTAAATAATTTGATTACCTACAGCAAATTAAAAATGCATTAGTAATTCAGCAATCTTGTATATGTTCAGCTTATACACAGTCAGGCTGAAGTAAGTAGGAGTGTTTGAGATTTCATATAATTCTGATCATGCTACTGCCAGCATATCTTTAAAATATTGTTTATAGGCTGAGCATGGTGGTATATATCTATAATCCTAGCATTTGGGAGGTGGAGGCAGGGGGATCTCAAGTTCAAGGCCAGCCTAGTATACAAAAGGAGACCCTGTTCCCAAAACAACAGTAGCAACAAATACACACACACACACACACACAATTTACTTCCCGCTTTTTTCTTTTTTTCTGTATATATAGTCAGAATTTCAAATGTAAAAAACATTATTTATAAATATTTGTCCTAATAGTTTCTAAAAAACTCTTCTAGAAAATGAGATTATGTATTGTAGAAAAATTCACTTCATGTCAAGATTTCAATGACAATGGGCAATTCCTAACAATCACTAATTTTTTAGTCACAAATTTCAATAAACTGAAAAATTCATAAAGATTGTATGTTATCTTGTTTTACCACCTACCTTCTACTGAGCTCAAAGTGCTAATCTTATTATATTGTCTATTTTGCTACCTTTTATTATAATTCATATGTTAAATTTCCCATTGAATAAATATTCTGGATTTATAAGAATCACAAAGTAAAATAAAATCTCTAAATTTTTATCTTGAACTTTGGAGCAGAGCAAAACAGTTGGGCAAAAAACAGTTTTAGCCCTGTAAATTAATGACAGTAGTTATCTGAGCAGAGACACCTGTTTTACAAATTATGGCTTTCTGCATTCTGTAAACTTATCTCAGAAGCACACTTGGAGGTTCTGGTCCTAGAGGAAAATTTAATAAACTTAATATTGTTTGCTGCTTAAAATTTATTCCATTCACTGTAGAATATACTTTAATTCGTTCAAAGAGAAATTTTCCTAGGAGCAGATGTCATAATTTATTTTTAGTGGTTTTTCCATGAAATTACCATATGCATCTATCTCTTTGCAGGCTTGCCTGGGTTTGATCTATACTGTGTATGTGGACAGTCTGAATGTTTCCTTGGAAAGTCTCATTGCAAATCTTTGTGCTTGCCTTGTGCCAGCAGCTGGAGGGTCCCAGGTAAATAAAATAGAAAGGTGAATGGAAAGGGACTGTTCTCTCCCTCCAGTTAAGAAAGAATTCTTCTCAATATTTTTGTTTTAAAGAGGATTCTAGTTTAGTTAAGCATTGTTCCTATAGTGTTCCTTCTAAATGCTTAAGATTCCATTCTTTTGTTAGGTCATGGGGTTAATTTTCACAGAGTTCACCTTTCACATATTATAATTAGAAGCCATATTTTGTGTAACTTGAACTCTATTTGGACATACCTTTTTTTAGATTGAACTTTTAAATGTGCTTTTAATACCTTTCTTACTCATATCTGTATATAGTTATACTTCATTTTATTAACTTAAATTTTTAAAAAGTTTGATAAAAATTAGGAGACAGCATTAAGAAAACGCTTCACATTTACTCTGTATGTGTCAAGATTTTCATAATTGTCTCTGAATTAGAAAAATAAGAAGGTTTACTGCTTGATTTGTTTATTGTTTCTAGAGCAACCGTACTTTAAAAAGAATAGACTTGAGGCTAGTGCGCATAGCTCAGTAGTACAAATACATGCTTAGCATGTGGTAGGCCCTGGGTTCAATCCTTAGCACTCCCTCTCCCCCAAAAAAAGAATGCCCTTTCCAAAACTCTAAAAATGATTGGTTGATCATTTATTTTGTTTATTCTTATATAATATTGAGGAAGGGAGACAGCCTTCTAAAAATCACATCGCTTATCTTCAGTCAGATAAAGATGTTACATACAGTTAAAATGAGCACTTTTTCCTTGCCCTTTGCCTTTTTTAGCTGTCCTCTGTCTTTCTCAGTGTCTTTTGTCTTAAATTGTTACACCTTCCCCCCGCTCCTTTTTTTTAATGCTATTCCCTTCTTCCTTACATCTGCTATAAGGGCAGAATGTTAAATGTGAGTTTGGTCATGATCGGGCTTTAAAGAAACAGAATTGTCTTTGGGGGCCTTTACTAAAGTTTTTGACTTTAACAATAATTGGCAGTGATTTTTGTGCCTCAGAATTTTCAACCTTCAACTGCTGAATATTCTCATGCTATTTATATTTGTACACAAAAAAACTTCAGTGTTTTGGGTAATATGTTATTAGCCCTTTGCATTTGTTAATTGGCTCTTTTATGGTCACTTGTTCTAAAGCTGGACTTCAAAGGGTTTTTACTTTAAGAAAATGTCCACATTACTTTGTTGTGTATTTCTCATTCTACAGAAGCTGTTTTCTTTGGGTGCAGGAGATAGACAGCTGATCCAGACTCCTTTACATGATAGCCTTCCTGTCACAGGCACCAGTGTGGCTCTTTTGTTCCAGCAGTTGGGTATGTCTTTACTTGTATTTTTCAATGTCCTCCTATAAAGCCTATGGTAAGAAAAAGATTTAAGTTTGTATCACCTGACATGAATAAAAAAATATATGTAAACCATTTAATATCTCTCTTAGCTTCCATGGGCCAGGAGGAGAGAGAGTGGAGTTTACTTCCCAAGTTCTGGCTGTTGGGTAGGCTACCTAGGAACTTGTTTCTGTATCACCTCATTAGGAGCATGAGCAGAAACTGGCATGGTTTGAGTATCTAGGGGCAGCTGAGAACAAAGAAAGGAGAAAGGGGAGCTTGCTGTGGCCTTCACAGCTTGGTACCATTGTAAAAATGCACACAATTTGAGGCTTATCCTTCAAGGGAGAAAGAACACCCAATGTTCCAACTTTTCTGAAGGTTGTCTGGGTTTTGGAAAAGATACAAAGGAATTGGAACCATTGTTCATTGCTAGGGATGTGGTACAGCTACCTTGGACCACTGGATCTCAATCCTCCTCCTTTCCTCTCTCCCTCCCTCCCTCCCTCCTTCCTTCTCTTCCTTCTTTTCTTTTTTCTGTGATTTATTTTTATTGTTGTATTGGGGGTACATTGTGACATTTACAAAATTATGTACAACATATCCTAGTTGAATTCACCCCCTCTGTCATTCTCCTTTATCTCTTCTCCCTCCCCCCTCCACCCATTCCTGGAATAATTTCATTTTTCCATTCATGTACATGTATACAGAATATTTCCACCATATTCCCTCTCCTTCTCCCTTTCCTTATATCCTGCCCCTTCCCATTGATACTCACACCCAAGACAGGTCCTGTTTTACCTTCCTGTTCTCTGTTTTTGAAAAAAGAGACATTTTTGTTTGTTTAAGATAGCTATACAGGGAATTTCATTGTGACATTTCCATATATATATGTATTGGTTCATCCTCTCTACTTTTCTCCTTTCTACTTTAGTCTCCTTTTTATGGTGATTTCAACATGTTTAAGAATTCAATATCCATTCTTGTGTAGGAAGTACATCAACCATATTCACCTTCTTAACCTCCTTCTTTTACCTTCTGTCTCTCGTATGTAACCTTCCCTTAGCATAACCTGTTTTTCATAATACTGAGTGTATTTGTGTTGGGTCTGTATTCATATGTGAGAGAAAACAGGCAGCCTTTGGCTTTCTGAACAGGGCTAACTTCACTTAAGATGATGTTCTCCAGTTCCATCCATTTACCTGCAAATGACAAAAATTCATTCTTCTTTATGGCTGAATAAAACTCCATTATATATATAAATATCACATGTTCTTAATTCATTCATCATTAATGGGGCATCTTGGCTGTTTTCATAGCTTAGGTATTGTGAGTAATTCTGCAATAAACATGGGTGTACAGGTACCATTATTGTAACCTGACTTACGTTCCTGCGGATATACTCCTAGGAGCGGTATTGCTGGGTCATACAGAAGTTCTATTTTTAGTTTTTTGAGGAGCCTCCATACTATTTTCCATAGTGGTTGTACTAATTTACATTCCCACCAACAGTGTATGAGAGTTCCTTTTCCCCCACATCCTTGCTAACATTTGTTTGTGTTCTTGATAGGCATTCTAACAGGAGTGAGGTAGAATCTTAACATGGTTTTGATTTGCATTTCCTTTGTGGCCAGGGATGGTCAGCATTTCTGCAAGTGTTTTTTGGCCATTTGGACTTCTTCCTTTGAAAAAGCTCTATTAGATTCATTTGCCATTTCTTCATTGGCTCGTTGATTTTTTGGGAGTTTAGTTCTTTGAGCTCTGGTTATTAATACCACGTCAGATATATAGCTGGCAAAGATATTCTCCCATTCCATGGGCTGCCTCTTCAGTTTGGTGACCATTTCTTTTGTTGTACAGAAGCTTTTTAATTTCATGTTATCCCATTTGTCAATCCTTTCTCTTAGTTGCTGCAGCCT